ACACTTAGAAGCTTAAACAATGTAAATAAAGGCCAGAAAATGAAGATAAGTAGATCCTACGATGTCATGAGACTTTGTAGATAGAGATGTTTTTGCATACATATAACAAAAAGTGAAAAATTATTTGGAATGTGATTTTGCCTTTGTTTTCAAACAAGAGACTTTGTGATGTGAAAAAGATGGTCATGTATTAAACAAAGAATAAGTCACTTGCAGCTCTGAGACAATTATTTTCTAATGGTGTTGATGAAAAATCTTGATAAAATTGTCTAATACTGGAGATTAGGTTGGCAGGAAAATACCCAGACCAACTGTATTATACTACTGGCAATCATCAGATTTAAAAAATTTATAGGTATATACATAACAGTTGCTTTCCTAATCTTCAAACAATCTGCTATCTTTACCAGCACCTGGTTTTTCCCTAATAGTTCTTAGCTGATTCTGTCACAATCAGCAAGAGAAACACTGGAATAAGACATTCCTTGTTGCTCTACTCTACTGTATAAGAAAGTGATGATTTTCTCAAATCATCTGAGCTCAATGATAACTATATAAAAGAACTGTGGATAAACTGTATTGGGTTTATCACTCAAGCACATCAAGCTGCAGAACGTTTTCCGCTAGCTTTGCAGCAAAATACAGGCTAAGCAACCAGATGAAAGTAATTTTTGCAGTGAGTAAACTGTTTTAAAGTTTCAAGTACAACTAGAAATATAAAGCTACTGTTGTGCTGCTGGTGACTGGAAGATAATATGGAGATATAGAAGGCACCTCAACAGGCTTCTGAGATGGGCACCCTTTTCATCCAGCTGTGCTCTGTAGAGATACAGGCCTTCAAAAAACCTAGTATATCAGTGTTTTTAAGACAAAATACTACCAATGCCCATATACAACTAGAATGTTAGAACCAGGATAACATACAAAACGGTTTATTCAAAGAGGATTGTTGGAGGGGAGAAGAAACCTCCCGCTATCTGGAGACACCAGCCAAACTAAGATGCCTCAGCTCCAAGGAATATTGCAGAGGACGGTAGATCAGAGAAACATCATCAGAGAAATTACTTGCTGAAGCAGGAGGTGAAGGACAAATAGGAAAAAGCATTAAAGTACAAGGTGTTGCTGTCCTTATTAGGCAGTGAAAGAGAGTGGGAAATCAATACAATCACAGATATCGCATCTGCTGATCTAGCAGAAACAAGGAAATATATTAAAATACCAAAACTTAACTAACAGTAATTAGAGAATAGACAGTTTAAGCCACTGTCCGGATTTCAAAATTTAGAACTGCAGAAAATTAATGGTAGAGTGGGAATGCATTTTGAGGAAAACGTTAATTCTTTTGAATTATAATCTTGGCTAGGAAAATTAGATGCAGAATGGCGAAAATCTGTTTACAAGAGCAGTCACCAAGGATCTCAATGTTCAGAAGGAATAATTTTCAATAGTAGCCTCAGTGCCTCATTCTGGGCATAAAGTGGGAAGTACTTTAACATTTCCTTCAATGTCAAATAACTGAAGAAATGGGAATTGGGGTGACTGACTGGGATGACAGTCTGGACTGTATTCAGTAGGAGCAGGAGCACTCCTGAAACTGGCAAAGCGGCCTGGTCGCAGTAGTTCAGCAAAAGATCCTCTAAACAACCTGGTCTAGTTGAAGATGTCCCTGCTCAGTGGAGGAAGGTTGGGCTAGATGACCTCTAAAGGTCCCTTCCAACCCAAACCATTCTATGATTCTGTGATCCTGGGAAAAGCTTGCGAAGTGGTTCAAGGTAGCAAATGATTCTGGCAAGCAAATCAAAGTAATGAGGGAAAGGGACTGCCTTGAAGGAAAGTGAAGTTTAGACTTTTCTTTATTTTCTCAGTAATTAACCTGAAATGCTTTAACTTGCTTAGTTTATGCTAAGTATATACATAATTATGGGAGGCAAACCATTACTTTTTTCTTTTTTTTTAATTTCACTTCTCCACCTCCCATCAATCTTTACGTTTACTCTTCTTCAGATAATTTAACAGCGGTGTCTCCAAAAGGAAGGGAATCCCTAAAGAAAAGTATTCAGGAACAGAGAGAGTTGCTGGAATTGATTATTTGCATTAGACTTGGAACCAAACCTGAACAGCCAAGTTGTTCTGTATCACCAAGCTGCATATATTTCCACTGCAATGAGTACAGGCACTCTAAAGAGGCACTAAATTAATTTGCTGCAAATTAGGGCAGGTAACTGACATGGCTTCTGCAGCAACATCTTTAAAGGAATGGCAAGAGTACCCTTTAGCAAGCATGTGGGGGAATTCAAATTGTAACTGAGCTGGAAAAGTACAATTTTGGTCATCTAATCTCATTAGTTTTTCCCCCACACAACAAAAATACTTTCTTCCGTTACTATTGATGGTGTTTCATGTAAAGGAGTGTTATGTGGGGAATTTGGAGTTTGTAAGTGAGTAGAGTCTAGATCACAACAGATTTTCAATGATGGCTGCACCAAGAAGGTGAGTGTTCTCCTTGAACCTGAAAACGGACAGTCTGTGTGCAGAGCCACAAAATACTTCATATTCCTGCCCTCTGGAGCCGAATTATGGATGTAGCGTTCCAGAACACTTCAAAGCAAAGAGCAGACTTGTTACTGACTGCATTTTCAAATACACAGAAGTTTCAGCATTTTCCTTTATGAGAGAAAACCAAGTGAAACAACCCCAGCTCGTGACGGAGAAGAATTTATCTCTAGAGTTCACCCAAAATTGCTGTGAACTGCCCATAAGTAGCAAGTAGCTTTTATGCACATGATGTAAACATCACCTCTCAGCAACCATTATCACGGCAGGCGCTCTGAGACATGTGTCAGCATACAAGCTTTTAAACAGAGAAACAGTTGATAGAAATGGCATTTGGGCATGGATCCCCTAAAATCAGCAGAAGTCAGAACAGATCTGTTCTAGTCATCCACGTACCACATACTACAACAATAATTTTTAAAGGCAGTCAGTGGGCTTTTACCCAAATTTATAGGCTTTATACTGAAAATTATAAAAAATAAACCAAATAAGGCATGTGGAGAAAATTCAAAAGGCATGGAAAGCTAAGACGTCATATTGGTAGGCCAGCTACTTCAGTAAAATTGAGAAATCTCTGTCTTAAAACAAGGTTGTTATAGGAGACTGTTGAATTTCTATTGGGATCATTCCATGCAATATGTAATTGCTGAGGGAAAAGGGCATACAGATAAGTTTGCTTTCACATGCTTTTTCTCACAAACGTGTTTTGACTAAACTATGAAATAAACATGACGATGAAATTGCAGTCAGTATGTTAAAAGGTTACAACACAATACTCTGCGTTTTAGAGAAAAAACAGCAAAGAACAACAACGAATGGATGAATTTAAATGACAGGCATGTCTTTCTCACAGAAACTAGACTTGAAGCATGTAAGCCCATCCCTACCTGTGGACTGAATTAAAAATACTCAGCCTATAGTAGAAGTTAATGACCAGTTTAAGCTAGTGGATTTAGTGCCACCTGTTTTTTTCCAAACCAGAAATGATATCATACTCTTTTGGAAAAATACCATGAATATAATGACTTTCAGGAAAGGGTAAATTGGTCATATTCCTGTGACGTTACTGAACTCATATCATAGCCATATTACGAATGAAATAAAAGAGGTGTATTTCTTCGTGACTTTTTTTTGATCAGATTAAAAAAAGTATTGCCTCATACTTCAAGGACTTGCAGAGACGGTGCAAGTGGCCAGATTCAATTTGCAGGTTCAAATAGGTTCGAGTATAGCAAGACTTAGAACGGAATGGAACATTTTAGAATAGAAGAATTAACTCTGCAGCCCCTTGCCATCTGCAGTTAATTAAAAATCCACTGTCTCCCACAGGAGGAATAACACACTACAGGGTATTTCTCTGGAGTCTCTGCATATCCTTGGCTTCTTGGTATCACTGATGATGCTAAATATGATCCAACTGTCTCCCTTTTATGTGGAGAAACATTTTGATCTGCTTCTCCAGTGTAAAACATCACAATAAAATCTTCCTTGTCTCCAGAAGTTACTAACTGCTGTTTCAACAAGGTACTCCAAAAATCTTTCAGCATATCCCAGGATCTTCAGTTATTCAAAAGTTAAACAGACAAGGCAACTGGTCCTTTCTTTCAGTATGTGCATAAACTTGGATAAAAGATAGTAACTGTATTACTAAATTGCTTAGCAACTGTAGCTAGGAAAGCTAATATGTCATAATTTATATGTGAAAAGATTGCGGGGGGTTAGTAGCCACGTCTAGTGCTATTGAAAACAGGCAGCTGACTGAAAACACTGCTATTTTCAACAGTTCAAAAAATGTAAATATGTCATCGACTGGTCAAATAGGCTTCCATACCGGTGATTTATTGCAATCATTCATATTAGCATACTACTGACTTGTATAAATCACTCCCAGGCTGAATACAAACCCTTTTATAATGAGTTAAAGTGCTGAATCAGTCTTGCTAGCTGCAGAGTAACATCAGAAGTTAATTTTGAGCAGTCTCAGTGAGACTAAGATAATTTCTGTTGGCCAGATTTGCTAATGTGCACAAAACTGAAGTAAGTATGCTTTTCCAGGGAGCTCTGGAAAGACAGAAGAGGGGGGAAAAAATAATATCTCTCAAGAAAAGCCAGTGAAACAGATCTGCAACTACTATTTGTGTCCATTAACAAAAGAAAATTCATGGCTGCTGTGCAACTTGTAACATTTGGCTAGTGGACCTGAAGGTTTTCCTGAGTAGGGTTTTCTGCAGCTGAGGTACCAAAAACATGAAGATCTGTGTGGGCTTTCATAGCTTCATCATCTACATGTGGCAGAGTTAGGATGGTTACACTCAGAAGCTGAAGAACACAAATATAATCCCAAACCAGGATTACATAATTACAGTAATTACAATAAGCAATTAACCTTCCCTATACCTGAAACACAAAGAAGATAAACATTTGGCAAAACATATGTGAAACTTTACCTGCAACCACTGTGACTGATCATTGTGGCCAGAGGTCCAGGCATTAACTTTGCCTTGTTTGTCCAGCCGGGCTTTCCTGGGCTCCCAAGCAAACATGTCCATGTTGAGTGTACGGAAAACACTGGAGGCAGTAATTTGGTAGTCCTGTATATGTCCTGATTTCATCCCCAGGGGTTCAGAGCAACCTGGAACAGCAAAATAAGATCTGTGACACTATCTACTTATCTCTGTAAGAGGTTTAGGTTTTCCATTATGGAAAAGAAAACTAGCAATTCTCGAAAAAAAGGCATTAATCAAGACTATTGTTGGAGGAACTTGCAAACAAACACATGAAAAATAGCCAATTCAATGCACTTTATTTCAACACTACCTTGGAAGAATCAAAAACAAGACAGAAAATTAAATGTATTTTATCCTGGCATATATTTATGAAGGCAAACAAACAGGAAAGATGACTTTTATCTTTTCTTATCTTAGTTTTATTTTCCTGTCCAGCAGCTTACTATTGTTTCCCCTATTCGGTTTGATTTTATCATGCTTTTATGCCATACCACATCAACCATGTGTTTGCCTACTGAGGATATATTAATTTTTCTTAAAACCACTGCTGAAGTAAAATGTCAACAAGCACTGAGCCTTCTACACTTTTGAATTACTTGATACCTAGCCAAAAGCTTAGAAAGCCCCAACACCCATTGTCAGTGGAAGACTACTGAAAAACTACCGTGAAGGAGGGAGAATAGTAGGAGATAATTGCTCAGGACAAATCAACTGTTACAGGCTTATTTGTTTAAACCAGGTGGATGTCCCACATCATTGAGTTACTTTGACTGTAGCAGAAGACAGATCTTGGACTTCTTCCTCTGTTGGGTGTCCATAGGAAAAAAAAAAAAAAAAATAATGAGTGACTCTATGTTCATCTGCTTTGCTGTTTTACACTGGGAACACAGAAGGTACATTCGTACCCAGAAGAGGGAAGAATGAAGCTGACAACAGGAGGGACACCCTTCAACAGCAGGACTGTAACAACAGTACTGGAAGCCAAGGGAGGTAGATGATCTGTGTAGTTTTACGATTACAAAACAAAACAAAAAAAAAAAAAAAGGAAAAGAGAGGCAAGTCAAGTGGCTGAGAGCAAGAAGGCTGCTAAGAGGTCAGGAAAGTTGGATGTATGTCTGGGTGGAGTAGTGTTTGATGGTTGTTTGAGGAACAGGTGAAACGTGGAGATGGGAACATAAAAAGAAGTAGTTTTCCCATTTCCTTCCTGCCCCAGCTGTCAAAAACCTGCATATGTGCAGTTGTCCTAAAGTCTTCACCAATCTGGTGATCCTACTTAGTTCAATAGCTGACTTGACACAACTAAATTGTAAACAGTATTTTTACATACTCTAACTGATTGAGTGAGAGTGTGCCTAGGATCTAACCTACCTGGTTTTGCAAGGAGTGCATCATCACTGTGAATGCACAGAACCTTGACTTTATTGTCATTGGGAAGACAGAGGTTTTCTACCTGACACTCACATCCCACATTGCTGAGCTGGTTGCTATCAGGCAATCATTTGCTGAGTCACCAGCTGTGACTCTTAAAGCACACATATTGCGTTGTGAAGGCTTTCCTGCTGGGACCATGACCTTACTCAGCTGGTGTCTCTTGATAAAGTCAGAGAACTGTGTGACCACTTAAAACACCTTCAAAGTTTTTATTTTGTTTTTCACTTTATTTGAGCTAGATATCAAAGCTGGTTCTCTTTTTCTTAAAAGTCTATTTCCTCCACAGTATGTTTACCCAGATTTAAAGATCTGATTTTTTTTTTAGTTTCTTTTATACTATTAGCAAAGACCTTTTGATCTGATTCTACTTGCTGTTTAGCCTGCAGGTTTAACACACAGAATTAAGTGGAATTATTAGGGATTCAAATCAGCAAGGTAAAGCCAGGCCCATCATAGGGCGGGTCTAACAGCAGAAGCAAATGCGTATTACCAGACACACATGAAAATAGTATGCTCTTTAATGTGTAACAACTGTATTTAAAATTTTAAATACTGACATGTTTCATATTGAATTAAAAAATTAACAGAAAACAGATTAATTTCTGCAGAAAGCCCAACCTTTCAGAACTGATTCTCAGCATAGAGGTGGAAATTGCACAGCCTTGTCTGTAGAATTAACTACCCAGTTAAAAACAACAACAAAACAATTTTCCTGGGAGTAGGAGGAAGAAACTGATAGCACAAATGAGAGAGACTCATCTGTTGCTTTAGAGAAGGACTTTGCTTATTATTCAATTCTGAAGTAACACTCCAGGATCACAAGGGCT